AATTAATTTTATTATTATATTTATATGATATTTATGTATGAAAGCTAGCTTATTTTATATTTAAGTTTATTATAAACCCAAATTGGGTCCAACTAAAAGCTAATTTTGTACGAATTTCCTTAAATAAAGTGATAAAAACCTTTAAAATTTGTTTTAAATAAATGTATGGGTATGTTATATGAAGAGCAAGCACTTAAAAGTAGTTTATCTTTTATTGGAACTTTTTACGATTGATTTGAATTGCATAGACTGCAGTCTTTAGTTGAAAGGGTAAAGTAAATTTATTATTGTAGACCTCATACATTATTTGGTACTTATACTTAATTTAAACAATATTTGGCTTGATGGTTGAGTTTTCTTACTATAATGGCACCCGCTATTTATGTATACAAGTCAATATTTCGTAATATTAAATGTATATACAATCAGAAAGCTTATTAAAAAGAAAGCCGGTTGGCCATTGAGTTTTTTGTCCAATATTTTATACTTTAATTTACATTAATTATCAATTTTGTCATGATGATATCATCTTAATAAAATTCAAACTATACTAATACGATAAGTTAGTGCGCTAAAATCAAAATTATTTGTGAATGAAAATATAAAAAATAGCTGTTAAATACTTAAATGATTCATTAATTCCATGATAACAATTACAACATTATCAAAAATGATTGTTTTGGGTCTACCTTAAACTATTTAATCGGGATGGTATCGTAATATGGCAGCGATCGGATGACATCATGAATGCGGTTACCACTAAAACACATCAACGAACTACTAGTCATCCTTGTCGTGTAGACGTTAAAGAGGTATCTTTCTGTATTTCTATCTCAGTCTAATACTGAAATGAACTCAGATTGAAAAGGTCCGAAGAGTCAAATTCTATTTAAGTTAGCCAGTCAAGCCGCTGTCACCTCGTGGTTTAGTGTGTGGTGCGTGTAATGTTTTTAATCAGACAGATCCTTGTGCTGTAATTTATTAGGAAAGAAATATATCAATGAAAATGTGAACGTTTTACACTTATGCGGTCATGGTTTAAATATAAATACTATCGTATTTGAATTTAAAATAAATTCGAGAGGTAAGCATACATTTAGAATTGATAAACAATCGGTATAAACATTGATAAAGTATGGGAGTACGAATTTGTACAGTATTATGCGTTTTAGTTAATAGTTATTTCATTTATTAGCTTATTTATATTGCCTTATTGGTTTTATCCTATTGGCACATTGTTGGAAGTGTACAATAGACAGTAACTAATATGTAGTTTTTATGACTAGAGGAAACTGATCCTCAATAAATACTTAGTAGGTAGGTTTGCACATGCTTTTATTTACGCTTATCAATATTCGTCCTCCGAATGTTAGTCTGTTGGCCCTGAGTTCTGCATCGTAGCTTATAATTCTTCTTCTGCTAGCTCTGTAGCCGGAGCCGTCTGACACTTTGGTGGCCTAGCTTTAATCTAGCAACATTTTCCATTTCGGTCTGTCTCAGGTCACGTTGTTTTCAACAATACATAGGGACCTACGATTACGGGTCTGAAAATCAAATCCTTGCGTTAAGCCTGTCTGTCCCCGTATGTCCCCGTTCTACAGCAGTAAAAACCCAATACAAAATCTAGTGGAGTGGACTAAAAGAACAAATTTTTAACTTAATTAATATTTAGTCAATACTTCACTTGTATTCAATTAATTATTCTGATCGATAAACCTTGGTTCACGCGTCCTTCCGACCGCATAAAAACATAAATTTCTTCCACATCGTGTGTTTTCTCATGCATTCAAGTTTCAAGGCTTTCAATATAATTTGTTTATGTCCTATAACCTTTATCCTTGACCTTCTTTCATAAGCAAGGACTCCCGCCTCTGCAGCTTCTTACGTAATATCTCGTATGGAATTTCAATAATAAACATCTCTGCATATTTCTAACAATAAATTAGACGTAGAAAAATATATAAAAATATAGGTATGATATAAACAAGGTGTTTCTAGCAGTAAATTAGCTTTGTCCGTCAAGTTAATCGTATCAGATTTTCTTTTATAAGTTTATGTTAAGATGTAGATTTATAAGCTTTCTTATTATGTTTTTGCTTGAAACATTATTTTATTCGCAGTAGTCAACGCTAAGAAACAGTACGCTCAGTGAGAGACAGATCGATAAACATAAGAATACAAATTGCTTTTCGACAAGACCGTTTATTGTTTTCACATTGCTGGACAATGTGAAAACAATAGAATAGAGAGTCATTTTGCCTTTGTTAATACAATAATCGAGGTTTAATATGCAGTCTGAGGTTTTAATGAAACCGAGGAAAATGTTACATAAAATATGAATTTATATTTGCTAATGTAAAATATGCGCTTATCTGAATACAAAAACAGAATTTCCGTTTTAGCACTTAGTCAAATTTAAGCTAACATAAAAAAGATTATCATATACAAAATTTATGTTACGTTAGCTACGTAAATATACATTTTATTAGCTAAAGAACATTGGCTGATAAAACATAGTACGTATTTTTTATTTCGATCACCTCTGATACCATGACTTGTTTGTTGGAAGAAGTTTCAAAATATGTGTAAAGTTTTCTACGTATCTGTGAGTAAGCGAATTTGGCAATATTTAGTCGAGATTTTTTCACCTTGTGTGTAGTGCATACTGCATACTGGTAAACCGTTTCGAGGTTATCGCAAACAGTATCCTTTTATCTTTTCTTTATTGAACTCTATTATCGTTTTATTTATATAGGGCGTTTCACTACTATAGATATCGTTTGATTTCTCTAAATGTTTCATGTAGCTATTTAAATATATCATTTAACTGAAGCTATTGAAATAACCTAACCGGTGCTGATATAAATAAATATTACTTATATCGTATTACGTCACCGTCTCATAGGAATAATTTGTTAACGATCCTCGTACGTCGTTGAATTTTACGAGGACCACTATGAAACGAAGAAATATGTATCCCATCTCTTTAGTAGACAAGAATAAAAAGCATTCTTCCAAAAAGGTGGCATAATGGCTACTAAGACCTTTGCTTTTTTAGTTAAAAAATAAAATGAGTAAAATAGAGAATCGCGCGGGAAGTCGAAATGTTAACAACGAAATGTAGTTATTAAAGTTTGACGATATAACTGTTGTGCAAATAGTTTTATTATAAATGTTTTAACCAATTTATTTGAAGGCATTTTGGTTGCCGTGCTGAGGTTTTCAATTTATACAGCCACCACAACCGGGAGCCGCCAGGTAAAGCCTGAGAATGAAAGAAAAGATGTAAATTACCATAACAACCGCACAAAACATTTCATGACAACATCCATAATATTGACTTCCTCAGCGCCAGGGAAATAAATAGACACGTATATCAAAAATAATTAATTAGCTACCATCGACAATGTTGAAAACATTGAAGCATTAACTTTATAGGTTAACTTAATTGTTAAGGTTAAATTAAAACATGGAGTTTGTTAGTTTTTTAATTAATTTTCTTTGTTGAAATATATTAATTGTTTCAGGTCTAGTTAAGGCATAAAAGATGACAATATTAATTTATGACTATTGCCAGTTGGAGGAGCGCGCTTCCAGGCATCTCAACGCATGGAAAGGTAAACTTCAATTTAATAATATTTTAAGCTTAGTTCTATTTGTAAGCTCTTACTTCATTTAAAAATTGATATATTTTTTAAAAACATTCACTTTAGAACGCGGGTAATTGGAAAAAAACAAACCTCAGTAGGTATTATATATAACCTACCTAATTTTAATATTTCTATTTTAGTCATAAAATTAAATATAAATAATATGTTTGATCGAAAATAAAACCAGATAAGTGAAGAACTCTCTTAAGACGAAGACTCTTATTGAATATACTGACCACTAGTACGAAAGTTAATAGTTAAGGCAGATTGTAGAGTAAAAAACAAATCTTGGTAAAAAACACGATAATAAAACACACCAGTTTCTATCGGTTCTCGGTCCACGTCCCAGGTCCACTTCGTTGTTTCGAAGGCCGCCACTCGAATGTTACTTGTACTTAATACGCATCATAATAATGATGTCATCGCTATATTAGACGTATTAAATCTAACTAACGGTAACATAAGTACATGTTTTAGTTAAATAACTTGATCGATTAATTTAACAGTTAAGAAAGGCGTATAATGAAATGTACTTGTAACATCAAACTATTTTTATTAGTAGCCGTAAAATTAGATATACGTATATGCGTCAGTTAACTCATCTTGATATTAACCAGAAAGAACAAACTATTTATGGTATGAGTATAGTCCACCTACGCGGTCTTCAATTAAAGTTTTCATTCAGTAGCTCTGTAACGTTAATAAAACTAAATTAGGTACATTTAATTAGAAATGTTTTCATTGGTCTATAGGCGATTAGATTTTATATAAGATTCTTTATAGAGAGACTTTTTGGAAAAACTGTTTTTTTTTTTTTTTGTATAAAATATTAGCAGATTTATTGTAAATTTACTAATATTTCTTTTACCATTCCAACTAAGCTCTATGCTTGTGCTAGGATATGGTTTACGACAATAGTCGAATGGCGGGATTCGAACCGCCGACCTCGTGATCGGAAATCTGTACCCTTAACCATTAGGCTATTGACGCTTTTATGATGATAGTATTATTTTTTGTTAATAAAACTTCACATACAAAATTTTTAAAACGTCCTTAAATATATGGGTTAAGTTATGGTTATGAGGTAATTTAGTCGAACGCATGCACTTCATGCAGCCACGATAACTGATGACCCACTGAGATAAAGAACCTAAATATCGCAGTTAAGGTTTGTGCCTCAACTTCGCTTGAATGACTTAAGGCAGTGTTAAGGTCATAGGAAAATTTGGCCACTTTTGGTACCTTTTAGGCAATTTTTGAGTTTAGGTTTGGCACAATGTGCTAAAATATTAATACGAAATATGTTTAAAAAGAAAAGCTTAAATTAGTTTTATTCAACAGACAGATTCAATTTCATGCTGTACAGTATTAAGTAAGATAAGTCGATTGATGGTATCATAAAAGCAATTTAGACTTAAACCACATAGAAGAGAAACGTATGACACGACAGTAAATGCACCGTAATTACCGTAATTTACCGTGGTTTTCCGAGACCAAAATCTCCGTTTAAAATATATTGTTACCTTTGTTTTGTCGAAGATGATAGGTATAACGATATGTTTTGTGAGATTTTGATATCAGAAACCAACGGTTACTGGTTTTTGAAGTACAGTCAGCGTCATATAGATCGTAACAGACAAGATATGCAAATATATAGGTACACCAAAAGTAATCAATTATATCGGTACAACAAAAGTCCTCAAATTAATAGATACATTCACCCTGCTCAAATACATCGGTACATACACAGCGTCAAATATATGGGTACATGCAAGATGCTCATAAATATCGTAGCAGCCACAGCGTCATAAGTAACGAAGCAGTCAAGGTGCGCAAAAATATCGGTACATTTGACAAAATTGAACTCTATCCCTATATACATGTGATACAATTTGGAATAAACTACTTCTGTCACATTCATTTGACACTTTGCATCAAACCACTGAAGTAAGGGTTACATTTTTTAGGATGAAAATCTTAACTTTAACTTTCGATTCTATTAAGTTAAAAACATATACATTTTCACGCCTGTTGCATATAGGGGTAGGCAGAGACTCTGAAATTTTATTTGGCTTAGCCAAACGAATCTTCGCAATAAGTTCCCAAGATTATTCTTCTTCTTCTTCTTCTTCTTCTTCTTCTTCTTCTTCTTCTTCTTCTTCTTCTTCTTCTTCTTCTTCTTCTTCTTCTTCTTCTTCTTCTTCTTCTTCTTCTTCTTCTCCTTCTCCTTCTCCTTCT